CCATCAGAACTAGAGTGTACCGATCTAGCCATATTTACATAAAAGAGTGGTGCATGGTTTCTTAACTAACAATGTGCTGAAATTTTGTCCTTGTAGGTTGTGAGTAATGCCTATGACAGACAGCGGTATACCAGTCCTGCCTTATTAACATACAACACTCACTGAGGAGTCAACAAACATTTTGTAACCTCAATCTCTCAAGCTAAACCATCGACCTAGTTTAAAGCACGTGTACTCGTATACTAGAAATAAATGAGCCTCTGGCTAGAGAAACACGAACAGGGAGCTATTTTATGTGTTGTTGTTATTTGTTATTAAGCACAAAGCTTCACAAAGGGCTATCTGTGCTCTGCCCACCACAAGTATCGAAACCCAGTTTCTAGCGTTGTAAGTCTACAAACATACCGCTGTGCCACCGCGGGGCTATTTTATATGATAAAACATATAAAGAATATATATGTGTGTGTGTGTGTGTGTGTGTGAAAAGAAAATTGCAAAGCATTACAGTGTATTTGACGTCATATACATCTTTGTTTATTGTTAATTGGATGCCAAGAGAGAATCTGTCCTCAGCCATACTGTTATTGGAACAAATAGGTTTTGTTTTCATTCTTCGTAATACAAACCGCGAAATAAATCAGAAAAAAAAAGCTTAAGATAGGTAATTCTTAGTATTTCGTATACATGTAAATGGTTTTCTCATTTTACAAGAGGTAAGTTTAGCTTTTGTGAAAAAAAATATGTTATTGAATTCGACGCAAGGTTACTAAAAACCGATTTTTCCTTAATGATCGTACTCTGTCTCCTTTCCATACGTCTTGATAATCGCCTTGCAGCGATGTTTTCGTGAGATGAGGTTTTTTCAGAAGGCAACCATGAAATCAGTTAATGTCTTCGGTCTACGGCTTCAAGGCACAAGTTAAAACAGACCAAAGGCAGAAAAGTCCATTGGAGTTGCATTTAGGTTCTAGATCCTGTGATTCCTGTTTCTTCGAACATCTTTCGCATAAAAGCAACCGTTGAATTCGAGGTATGCCTGGAAGATATTGAACTTTTTTGATGTACGAGCGTCTTTAATCTTAAAGTTCTTTATTACGTTGTTCATGGCAACAGGAGATAGGCTCAACTTTCTCGTAATGGCTTTTCGAGTCTGAGGGTTCCCTTTACTTTCACTTAATTAAGAAAAGATACGACTTCAGATTCCATTTCTGATCTAAACACTCCGCTATGTGAGTTTTACGCTTCCAATGAAATCACTGTAAACACCCTTCTATGAAAGTTGTGTATAGGATCACCACAAATTCGTGTAGAAATTAACACAATTTCCTTTAATATGTAAATAACACTCTGTAATTACTAAAGTATAAGAACAACAGCGATATTTTGTCTTTACTTTTCATTTTAGCACTAGAGGTTAAAGCGACATATCATTTTTTAAACTATAAATTTCCTTAAACTATAAACTATAGGACTAGTTCTACGTTTTGGTTCTTTCAACTAACAAACTTTGGTGTTTTATGGCTATTTTTCATACATTTATCAAATAAATACGATGTTTAATTCACACTATATAGCATAATTTAACATGGCTTGGACTAGCATAACTCTTCACTATAGTTACTCCAACATGATGTTTGTTTGTTTTATTTTTTTTGCCGAGCGCGGCCAAATTATTATCGTGCCGAACTGTGGAACCGAGGTTCGAGTCACGTTGCCGAAAAGAAGCACTTTGGATCCATAATTGTATTACAGGAGATAAAGTCAGATCTGACAAGAGTAGTCCTAGAGTATTTGGTGGGTGGTGGCGAATAGCTGCCTCCCTTCTATTCTACCAGTTCAAAATTAGGGACGGCTATAGCAGATAACTCTCGTGTAGATTTGCGCGAAATCAAACAAAACAAACTACTACTCCCTATTGCTGTAATTTAAACAACATGGCAGTGGTATTAGGAGGCAAGGACTACAATATATTTTTTCATGTCGACGAAATGTTAAGTTTGGAATGATACTTACTAATTCGTCAAATGTAAATATCCGAAATGCTGAATGTCTTGTAAGTTTTGATAATAAATTCTTTGTGACACATCTCAAAAGCCATTGTTCAAGTTTCCGAAGATAAAAAAAAAATTGAAGAAGAACCAAAATGTAAATAAGTCTACCGAACACCACAATGTACCATGATAAATATACAAGATATACTCTTACAAGATACAGTTTCTTGTACCAACAAACTGTACGAAGATTGTACCTTCATTTATAATTAGACCTCTAACCTAATTACAAACTTATAAAACATTTCATGTCTCTGAAACATTTTTTCGAGACAGTCAGATCTATTGAAACTTGTCAATCTTGAAGACGGAAGGATCGTATTTCAAAATTTGCCCTTTAACTCTCAGAAGAGGTGGTTCTCCTGTTTATATAAACTCAATTTCTGACATCCAGTATCAGATCAGTTCTGTAGGGCAATGAACTATAGTATAAAGCTTTTACTGTAGTAACTGAATGTAGTATCAAGAGTCTCTTTCAAAGTATCTTCTTCGTAAATTTATATTTTCGCATGTTTTACAGTGAGTATATTTCCATGGAAGTGCCGTTTTTTTTATTAACATTTCTTGCATACTTTTTAGATGTCATTTAAGTTTTAAATAATTGACCGTTAAAAATCGTTCTTATCTCTGTCTGTGGTTGCTTTCAACTTTTTTTTTTTGGGGGGGGGGGGGAAGAGTTAGTTAATCAATCAAAAAGCTTCCCGTATGTTGAAGATATACCTCACAAAGTTTGAAAATTCTTAAAAATTTTGGAAATGAATTTAATAAAAATGTTGGTATACCACAACTTGATAACATATCACAGAAAGAATGTCACTGATGTCTTTATTTATAGACAACATTGTCTCGGTAATAAACCATCATTACCCACAAAACTGTTATAATAACACTTAAATTGACTTAATAAAACAATATTCTAAGAATGTAATTATCAGGAATAATAATAATAATGACAGAATATGAATCCTTGTCAGATTTTAAGTGCTCATCTGTGGAGTTAGGTCTGACACGTATTTTATTTTCTACTTAAATGCACTTATTGGCAAAAAAAAAAAAAATGTTCAGAACGATTTTATTTGTGCCTACTATGGCAGATGGAAAGAAATCGCTTTGCCCTATCATATGTTATGACTATCGAACACAAGGTTCGCCCATTCCGATGGGGCGCAGGAGAGAGTTTGGGACGAAATTTTTCGGAAATCGATTTTTTTTATAAGGTTGCTTTTATTTAACTACTAACTTGTCTTCCAACCAATCGAAAGTAATGCTACGGAAAACAACCAGCATGACAACAAAAATGGTAGAAAATTGAGAACAAAACACTCCTTAATTACGACTTAGACCAGACTGTTCAGGTTCATAAAAAATGTTTGATAAAAAAATACCCAAGATAAGAAACTTAAACTTCTGGTTTAAAATTTAGTATATTTAACTGACTGGCACATTTAAAACATTGGATCAGAAACAGAAATGTCGGTTGATGCTTTATTTGATGATAATTCTTCCGTTCACTGTGTCAAAAACCTTACTTCATTATTATTTAAAAGTTCTTTTGACAAGCAATTTTGGACTCAACAGCAGGAAAAAATTACTATTTTTGATAGGTGGTGGGGTATCCCATCAGATACGGAAGCCTAAGAGTAAAGTACCTGGCTGTGTGAAGCATGAACCAGGAACAATTTTCCTGTGCTGATTTTTTTTATCCAAGTATTCATTAAAGTGTTTTTATCCTACCAAAGTGGACCACCCATACGCTATGATCATGCTATATCGCCATTATTTTAGTACTCCTCTTATCTTCGTAGTATTCCCGCACTTCACCAAGAGAAAAATCTTCGTATCCTTACCTGATCTTGAATCATTTTCCTCTTTCTGCTCTCATCCCCATTTGAGGGCAAATCGTCGGATACATCCACAAGTCTACCGCTCCTGTTTAAAGACGTATTTCTCTTTGAGCACTTGGCAACACCTTCTTCGCCGAAGCTTCTCTAGCCTCACTTACGGTTAACTTTTTGAATAAATGGTGTGGCATCATGATCGAATCCACACCTGCTACACTTGTAGCGTATCGGACATTTTGTTACTTAAATATACATTTGCAGGTCAGCTTTCAATCCAACCTCGTTTCCATCTCGACAAGAATAAACACTCAGAAATTTTGGCTGGTTGTTTCAGAAGTTCCTCAGAGGTTTCACAAAAAGCTCGAGAATGGCGAGTGTTTCATAGATAATTTACTACAACAATTCCATAACGATTGTCAGAATTAGAATTATAACGCATATTCCTGTACCTTTTCAGAAGAAGAAGACTAAATGACGATATGTTTCTAACAAAGTGTCCTACCATTTCTGCTGTGGTTGAGTCACAGATTGCTTGCTAACATTATCCAAAAAGTTATTTATATATAACTTTAAAAATGTTTTTAAAACTACATTTAAATCAACTTAAAATATATAAAGGGAAATAATGTCTAATCAGGAAGTCTTGTGTTGTAGAACTTTTTGCTGGCGGAGAGCAGCATTTAACAGTAATGTAAGTACAGAATAAGGTTACAACAAGTTGCTGCCTTGTATGAAAATGATATAAGCGACTGACATAAATGGCTTTTCAACAAAGTCTTGTAATACATTGAGCCTGATGAGACTTGATTTTGAGCGAAAGGTCTCGACAGCAGTGGCATAAGAGATATAGTCGAAATGCTATTAGGCCAGTAAAGACCGGTATGATTTAAATTATTATCAGTGTGATAACATGACATGCATATATGGTGTCTAATAAATTAAATTTTCTTTGAACACAAATGATAAACAATTTTTTAAGTAAACTTTTTTAAATCACAACGCGTTTTAGTTTCTTATATTAAAATTGGATTAATATATTTGCATATTTAGTGCCATCTAGTATCTATGATACGTACTAACAAAACAGACAATACTTATACTACATAAGAACATATTTTGAATATTTATTTTGTATAATGTTTTCCAGAATTGACAGCTGTTACATGCTAATACGAATTAGTTAATACCTGTTATTCATCAAGATAAAAATCAAGTAATTGTACTTTCTATTTTGGTTTCGCCTGTAGAAATCCCCAACTTGCATCTGTACAGTTCCTGGCGAGTTTCAATACATTCTGTACACAAAATGAGAAATACACCGCATTGGAGACGTTTATTGTACTCTTTTGTTAAAGATTTATAATCACTAGATTATGTCACAGTTACAAACATAACAGCTATTTACAGCAACGTAGCCTCGAGACGATTATAACATTTTTATATACAAATATCAAATGTTTAAATGTACAACAGCTGAAATGTTTGAAATTAGTTATTTTATTTTAATGATTAGATTCACTTACAGATATAATTATATCAACTTGCTTAAATATATAAAACCTAAAAAAGTACTTTCCCGCCTAGAACTGAATGGTTTCGATTCAAAATGTTTGTCATCTTCTTTGCACTGCGTAAGATTAAGAAGTAGGCGGGTATTTTTGTGGTAGACGTCATTCGTATACATGTTGAGGTGTGGTTAATACCATATCATATATATACACACACACAACACACATACATACATAGAGAGACACAGAGACAGGAGATAAACACAGAATCAGGTGATAAAGAAGGGCAGATAATACACTGAGACGGAGAGACAAACAAATCGATGTGCATGTAAACCACACGCTTACTATTTGAACTCGTTCATATTGCTGCAATAAGTATATATCTAGTTCACATCTTTAATTAGATTGTTGTACTTTCAGACCAAAATATTAATTACATTTAGGTACAACAGAAACACTGTTTTCTGGTTGAGGTTCGTATGACACAAGCTCCACTGAGGCTATGTTAGGACTGTCTGCTAAAGACGTACTTTGTCCTGTGGCTAAATCCATCACTGAATGTCTTCGATTTAAAAAATGTACCATCATCCGAGCAGTTGCAGAAGAATACGAAGGAGGCGGGGTGTATTTTGGTGGTGGATCTTCTTCGTAGGCTGTGTTAATCACTCCTATAGTTGAAGTTCGGTTGGCACCATCACCTATAACACCAGAAGTTATGTTTGCAGAGGCAAAAGCAGGAAAACACAACGACTGGATTCTCTAAAAGAAAAAAAATAACTAATGGCATTTCTAACAATTATTGTGCAACGTTTTAGCTTGTCTTTATCTGTAATTACTTCACACCCATTTAGTGTTTGGTTCCAGGCCTTACGGTAACACTGTGCAGAAAATATACATCTGAAAATGACACCATTCCTTTGCTCTTGGCCACTATAAAATTTCACGTTCTAATGTACAAAGACTTAAGTTTCCATCTGCTAAATACTCCCCATTGTCCATGTAATTTTTGCAGCAATCCACATATCAAGTATGTTAGATGTTTTTACTTTATTGATTCAAACAAAATTAATAAATGTGGTGCAAAGAACATCGTATTCTTTCTAACATCAATAATAACGTTATATTGGAATGGCAATAGGTCCGAGTTAAAATGAATGTTGTAGAATATTCAAAAAGGCATTTCTGCTACAAGAGGATGCGTCATTAGAAACTGTCGTATCTAAAAGATTATTTCAAAGTTTCTGTAACTACATAAACCAATAGCAATTTCAATAATAAAAAGAAATAAAAATGTTTACCTATTGCCTTTGTTGTTGTTTTTTTCGAAATTACAAACATAGCTACTCAATAAACTCTAAAGTTAATATAATTTGACATATTAAATGTCACCAAATAATTCTCATTGGTTACTAAATAAATATTGTGATAAATTTACCCCAATGAGCTATGGAGAACTCAAAATTGAAACTTTTTTCAGTTCAACATACAACAATTATTATTAAACATTATTAGCAGTAATACGAAATAACAGTTATGCCAGTGTCACGTCTCCTTAGCTCTTTACAAATATAACAGGTAGTAATATGGAAAACACGTTATATCAACATAAATCAACACATAAAACATTAAAATAAATATAATTAAAAAACAAGTGGAATATTTAAAGTTTCGTTCCCAGTATTTGCACTAAACTTAATTTAACATAAAACAAAAATAGCATCGGTAGTTAAATATTACTCTCGTATGCCTTATTTCTGTTCTTTAGTGACAGTTCTACATTTTAAATTACGGTAGTTTATTTGTTTGTTTTGAATTTCGCTCAAAGCTACACTAGGGCTATCTGCGCTAGCCGTCCCTAATTTAGCAGTGTAAGACTAGAGGGAAGGCAGCTAGTCATCACCACCCACCGCCAATTCTTGGGCTACTCTTTTACTAACGAATAGTGGGATTGACCGTCACTTTATAGCGCCCCCACGGCTGAAAGGGCGAGCATGTTTGGTAGGAGGGGGGATTCGAACCCGCGACCCTCAGATTGCGAGTCGAGCGCCCTAACCACCTGGCCATGCCGGGCCCTTTAGTGACAGTTCTACATTTTAAATCGCGGTAGTTAATTATCACTCTCGTATGCCTTATTTCTGTTCTTTAGTGACAGTTCTACATTTGAAATCAAAACATATTAAAGGCTGACGTGCAAGTGGCTATGCACATTTCTAACACAATCAGATATATCGATTAATTTTAACCCTAGCATGATTTAGTTGCAAGGATTGTAAAACACTAAATACTCGAATTGCAATTTTCAACCCGAATAGCCTTAATGTGCATTCGAACTAAATGACCAGATCAGAGATACCTAGAGTTCAGGTAGGGTCGTTCTTAATTTTAGACTACTGACCACAAGTAAAATAGATAGTCTGCGACAATTGTCGCTCGAAGGGAGTTGTTCAGCTATTTGAGTCGAATAATGGTATTGACCTTAACCTTTATAACGCGCCCATAACTCTAAATGCAGAGCGTGTTTAGTAACATTCAGCTTGAATCTTGAACCCTGCGATCTGTAGTTCGCCTAGATAGCCAATAAGTTACAGCCGGGACTGATGGTGAATCGAAGCTTAAAGCAATTTGCATTACGTTTGAAAAAATGGAAAGTTATACATATAAATAAATATATAAGCCCTCAACTGAAAAAAGTAAAAACTAAAATTATTATTTCCTTACTTCAATACATGTTAAATTACCCACTCAACTATCTTCTATCACCATTACACGAAACGTTAGTAGCCTGTTGATGTGTCAAAAGTTTTTAAAAGGGTAATTTAATGAAACTAAGTAACGATTGTTTTAGTACGTGTATGTGTAATTATTTTGCAGTGAAGCATCAAAATTTCGTGTTTATTTATATATTGGTCTTACAATAAATATTGAACGCGCGCGGTGTGTGTGTGTGTGTGTGTGTGTGTGTGTGTGTACTTAATTTTACAATGAAGCTTCAAAATTGCAATGCATTATAGCTTTCGTACGTATTTAGAATGCAGTTTGGATGTACACGTTTTTAATGAAACTCCAGAATGCTGGTTCGGTTCTGTGCGAGTGCATATTTTACATAAAACGTGCAAGTTATATGCATGCTTGCAAATTTTATGATGAAACATCAGAAACTGCTTTTGTTTTTTTTCATAAGTAACATTAACTATGTTCGCTTATTGTAACGTTTACATATCAGTAAAGTTTGCATAGAAATATCAAATTACTTGTCTTTTACAGAAACGCAACAACTAATTTATAAGTAATATTTTTTTGTGGATTTTTCTACATAACAGTTTTTAAGGATTTTTATATCTGACTTCTTACTACGACTGTGTTTACAACCTACCTCATGAAATGCTTGTGTGGAAGAAGGTTTCAAATATAGAAACCCCTGGAAAATGGCTACACCTACTACTGAGATAAGAGGCAAGACTTGAATCAGCATTGACAACTTCTTTACCCAAGGCGCCCAGAAAGGATACTCCTCCGCGTAATCAGCCCACATGGACGAAGAGTTCCCGGATTGCAGGAAAGAAATTGACAAGACCTTAGAGAAATTATAGTGAATTCAATGTCCATGAATGTTTTCCAACTCCTCCTCAATAAAAGTATTTGGGGATCAAAGAACAGTATCTTATCTATATTGAATACTAGAATATGATAACTCGAGATGACCTCAGGTGTTCAAGTCGTTTTTAGGTCAACTGAAGTATTGACTTACTAGAAAAGGTACTCAGCTTAAAAATTAATGTTATAAATGAGGTTTTGGGCTGCCACATTCCACTAATTTGAGCATACAAACTGTTTGTTTAATGTGACTCTGCCCCAAATAATAAAAATATTTTATCTTCGGCGAAAATTAATACTTTTATTTTTTTAATGTGTATTTACTATTAACTTCCATATAATTATTCTTTAAACAATATAACCAATTACAAAGTCAAAATACGTATAGAGTCAAAGTCAAGGTAATAATATATTTAACGTGCTTATAAGATTAAGTCTATTATAACAAGAAGTTTTAAGAATGCAAATACCAAGTCAAGGTCAACATAACTACAAGTTTAAACATCGTTAGAATCGTAATGAAAAGTCCGAAGGCGGACAGAGATTATGTTTTTATCCCTCTGTTTGTGTGTGTGTGTGTGTGTGTGTGTGTGTTTTTGTCAGCAAGATTTCTCTAAAACGGCTGAATGGATTTTGACAAAAGTTGGTATAGATTTGAACTATGACCCAACTTATAAGTTATTAGTTTCTGGAGGGTCGAGGTCGAAGGTTAAGGTCACAAAAATAAAATAATCACTATCTGTTAACATGTGGACAGATGTTTCATACTATTTTTGCTATATAACTAAAACTAAAATAATCGGAGTTTCATGAAACTTGGCGGACATATGTTGAATATTATTTCTCTTTGTACTACCAAAAATGGTCTGTGTCCGTTGATAAGGACGGACATATGGACACATTTTCGTATTTCTTAGAGCCGAATATTATGAACTCTCAATGGCGGAGGTATGCGTTCTACTGAGTGCTCGTCTAGTGTTTCAATGAAATTATAACGTAATTTTATTGTAACAAAAAAGTTTAATTTGTAGTGTTTTTATTTACTTGGAAACTCGTGAACGAGAAATGTTTGTTCGTTAGTTAACACCTACAAACTTCACAATGAAAGTTCTTCGTATAAAACTTACCATAAAACTTACAGGTAAAACGACATTCCACTGGAAGGTCAGAATTGGGAGAAGCCAGATCTGATTGGACTGTGACCGAGCAATCACGGTGACTAGTTGGTCAGTCCCATATGGCCGACCTCAAGGAAGAATCAAACTGTACTTCTCACATTTAATGTGGGATGAACATGTTCAATACGACATATTTTAACTGACAGATTACGTTTAAATATACTAGATGAATACTATTCACCTAATAAAATACATGGAATTGTCATTCATTCTCGCAACAATACCTCACGTTCAAATTCTCAAATATACACAATAACAGAATATATGGATATCGCAGACAAACATTTCAAGCAAATTGACAAAACGGGAAAGAGTCTATACAGAATAAAAATGTTATAAGAATGGCAGAACACACTCAACGTCTCAAAAAAGGGAATTAGCCAATAAATAATGACTCCCTTCTCGTCACTGATATTTCGTCATTTCTGGTCAATTAGACGAGAAAATATGTGAATAAAAGACAAATAAAATCAACATAAATAGAGCTATGCATGACACAAACAAAGACAGATATTAAAATTTTTTCAAATATCTACAAGTAACCCCGACACATTTCCAAGCTAGATTTTTCATAGAAGAACATACCACATACTATGCAATTTTGATATTAAAACCATTTTAATTTGGTTTATATTGGTCTCATAATTTCAAGTATTTCACTTCCAGAGAATACAATGTTCATGTAAAAAGTTAAGTGTTCATAGAAACGTCACACCAGTTTAAAAACTATACTTCATCCTAAGACTCAAGCATTAATATTTTAATTTTAACATATTCACGTGAAAAAATTATATTGATAGTAATTACAATACAGATAAAGAATGTGCACGTACGATAAATCAATATCTGCAACTTACCTCTTATAAATAGTATTGCTATCAACATAACCATGTACAATATAGAAATCCACCAGAGGGAGCCAACACAAAAGTCCATAAAATATAAAACGAAAATGCCAATCTGTAAGACAGAATTAAAAATAACTATTAATTACATTATCATGACAATATGTGTAAAGAACAAAGTATTAGATAACTGTGATTTGCTTGATCTGGGAGTGTTAGGTGTATAAAACTATAGTGATTAAATATCCCCGTTGAAGTGGTAAAACGGTATATAAACACAACCTTAATTTGTCTAAAAGTCCAATTTCAAACATGTATGTTAAGTATTCAATTTCTTTTATTCCCAGCGATATAAAACGCAGTATATTGTAAACTTGTCTTTTTTAAGTAAAGAAGGACATTTTTTCCATACTAATAAGTTTGATGTATGAAGAAAATGTCCATTTTCAGTACTTTTGCTAAGACGAAATCGGATTTGTTATTGAAGGTTTGCCGCTCGAATGCAGCACTAGTGTAAAGTCTGAATCGCTAACTTTTTTTATTTTTCATCGTCACTTATGTGGTTGTAATAATACCCGTCAACCCCAGGCGGCTCAGTGGCAAGCTTGACGATTATAACACTTAGCAGCACTAAAACTTAGGATTCGATCACTGACGTGGACAATGCAGATAGCCTATTGTATTTTTCCGTTTTAACAAAACAATACAAAGCAACAATATTTAAAATTTAAATAAAATATGGCGAAAAAGCATTTATGTATTCTCAAAATCCAAATAGTTCATTTTCTGTAGAAACTAAAAATAACTTCGTTCAAGCTTCTACGTTTAAGAACAGAGGATTAGGTTTTTATTTATCGTTTATATTCGAACCAAAGCAAATTTTTACACTTAAAACTGCAGTTTTTTCTACCATTGACACAGACTGAGTGAAAAAAAAACTACCGGTACTTGCATTTTTCAGTTAAACAAGGCTTAACCAATTGTTTAATAATAGTGCGCTATGTGTGTAAAAGATCTTCGTAAAGAATTTAACAAATATCAAACGTATATCTTTTGACTTCACGTTACAACAAATTTTTGATTATCCAACCTTAGAACAAATATACAGAAAATTACATTAATAGTTAATATTATTTCCAAAGAGATCAGTAAGTCTATCTGTAAAGAATTTATCCCGCTTATGTTAGCACGCATAACAGGGTCATGATAAGGTAATATAATTTGTAAACACAAATCCTTTGTTTTCAATCCTCGATGCTGCTACCATCTAGTATACAAAATAAAAGCTATAAAAGGAACGTAACTTTTCTATTTGTTGGATGTAAATAATGTTAATCTTAATAAAACAGTTTTCTCTCTCTCTCTCTCAATTCAGTCTACTCAAAGATATCAGAAGGGAACTTTCGAAGACCAAATATAGTCGAACATAAACTAGCAGTATGAATATTCACATATATATGGTCTTCTCTTTGTGTGACGCACATTGGCAATTCACCACTAGTGATGTTATTTAACAATTTCAAGATCTTTCGTAACTGTCTTATTCCCCACCCTCCAGTCCTCATTAACATTTCTAGTACACACATTAGTGGTTGTCATCAGTTGTGAGAGGGTAGCTGTCATGTTACGTTCTTTTGTCCTTCAACCATAATGAAAAATTCTCAAATATTTTTGGTCCTAATCTAGATAATCACTCTAAATTTTAAAATATAAAGCTATGTATACACATCTTAATGAAACAGAATAATCAGCTATTCATTAAAATAATCTTAAAAATGTTAAGAGGCTGAAATAACAAACAAAATTTTTTTTAATTACGTACACAAGATGCGATGAAGACTGAAAAATAAAAATATTTTTGGAAATTTTATGTAAAACCAAAAAATGTAGTATACAGCAAAATTCAAAGTATACGTTACCAACTTACAGTGAAAAATCTAAAAATATTAAAGTTTGTGAAAGGTTTGATAATGTAAATACAATAATTTAACAGTGTTAACTGCATATGATAAAACGTTATAAATGTCTAAATACACCACAAGTCTGAAAAGCTTCCATGATTTGTTTTTATAGCAAATCTACATAGAGAAGCTATCTACGCCCTGTCCACTGTGGAGAATCGAACCATGTATTTTACCCTTGTAAGTCCTCTAACGTATCGCTGACCACCAGGGAACCAGCCTGGGAGAAAATGTTTTTATATAATGTACGAAACCACTATTAAGAACAACAGATATAGTTACAAAAAAACACCAATATATTATGAATTTCGCGCAAAGCTAGATGAGAGTTATCTGCGCTAGCCGTCCATAATAAAGCAGTGAAAGACTAGAGGGAAGACGGCCACCCATCGCCAACTCTTGGGCTACTCTTTTACCAACGAATAGTTAAATTGACCGTAACGTGGCTGTAAAGGTGAACATGGTTGGTAGGACAGGAATTCGAACCCGTGACCCAGAAATTGGGAGTCGAACGTCTTAACCACCTGTCCATGGCAAGCCATGTATTAGTCTGTTGAAATATATAGTATGTTCACCCCAAAATAAATCAATTTATTATGCTTATAAAAATCGTTGTTTGCCAACTTATTATTATATTAGTTTAATGCGCTACCTTATTTAAGTATCCATATAAAGTTTATATCGAATTAATTGTGAGGATTGGTGTTTAAAACGACGTACATGACATCTTTTTCATTAACACGCTTTATTTAAAGTGAGAAACAAACGTGTAGCAAATGTCAGTTTCTGCGAGGGTTGGTCCCCACAGTATTGGTAGTGTTATTGGTACCAGTAAACTTACTAGAGCCCTCTAGTTTATCTTATGAATTGTCGAGTTTTAGATTTCTATCAAATTAGAGTTGCATTTACTTATTACAGTAATTTTTCTTTACACTCAAAACCTGAAATGTGAATCTTAATATCACAAAAGCACAATACAATTCTAGTTGGGATGCAATATATTGTTAAAATAGTAACAATACTAAGGCAAAAAACTACGATCTGACTATACAGTGTTTCAATAAAAAAATACTTAGTTTTCATCAAATAGCAAAAAAAAATGATTTTCTATTTTTACTTTAGAATTCTAAACAATATTCAACACTTTATAAAGAGTGGAGATATGATCAGTATGGCTGAGAATACCTAAGGTTTGCATTTTCAAGTGATCAACTAATTTAAGAAATTTGCAATTAGAGTAACGGTAGAGAATTAAACAAAACAAACAATTTGTCGGGATATTACGGAGAGTTAAATGCGTTATATTATAACAAATTTGAATATGCAAATAAGCAAGTTACGTGACAACCAAAGTCAATATAAAGTCATAGTGGAATAGCATGTATGAGGACTGAATTTTTCCATTGTGCAGTTCTTTGTAGGTAGTGTAATGCCACTAAATATTGATGACTTTTGCGAGGTTATCTCACAGCCGTTTCCAAAGCAAAATACACGTGTACAGATGGAGGATTTAGAGTTTCCAAGACAAGGATATCTCATGTATTAATAGTATTGGAAAAAAAAGAAATATGAATAAACTTGGAGAACCTGACCATACAGAAATTAGACCCCCCACCTCAGCCATGGTAAGTTGTGCATTCATACAAAGACACTAGTCAAGTAGCTGACTCAGTACCTATGAATACCTATGCAGTCATATTCTTGAAATAGGTGCTGGAATACTGTCATCCTCATAGACCAGATAGACTATGAAATATGTGTAGGGAGTAGTGAGGTTCTTTGGGCACGATAGTATTACGAAAAGCTTATTTGCAATGAAAACCACACTGGAACTTGGAAGGCTATTGTCAAATGCACAGTCATCAGATAGAGCATGACCAGGCATAGCCATATGAACTTTAACGACAGGGTAGGGCTCCAACAATCGTTTTAATATAGCATACTCAACCTTATATATACAAGTAATTTTACAAAGAACATAACTAGACATGTAGTGATGAAACAGTGCCTATATATACATGTATAT